GGGTTGGGCTGGGCTGGGGCTGGGCTTGGAGCGGCTGGAATTGAGGGTTTAGGAGCTTCAACACACAAATATGTCGTTCTTGAGGGTTTAGGGCTTTAAGGCCCCGGCTTAGGGGATTTGAGCTTAGGGTGTAGGCTGGTTTAGGGTTGCCCCGTGGCCTAAACTTGTATTTGAGTGCGTGAAGCCTTTGGGTGAGAAAAGGCTGGACAATACATACACGCTACATCCTAAATCCTCAAACCTAAACCCTAAACCCCTAAACCCTAACCCCCTAACCCCTAAACCCCCAAGCCCCTAAACCCTAAGCCCCTAAACCCCTCAACCCTCAACCCCTAAACCCTGTTCGACTGCATTGTCTCTTTCCTGTGAATCCTTAGAAAGGATTCCTCGGCACGCCCACGAGCTGCTGGGCCGAACGAAGTGCGCTGGCGGGACATTGGTTTAGGGTTTAGGGTTTCCTAAACCCTAAACCCGAAACCCTAAACCCTAAACCCTAAATTAGTTTAGGGTTTCCTAAACCCTAAACCCTAAACCCCAAGCCCTAAACCCTAAACCCTAAACCCTATCCCATTTTCGGGTGTGGAGTGAGTTTTGGGCCTTGAGGCTTTGGGATGCTTAGGGCCTTGGGTCGATCATGGACTAAGCCCCAAGACCTTCCAAGCCTAAACCCTCGCAGCTCGGTTGATACCATCTTTTTTGAGGGCTCAGGGGCGTTTAGGGTTTATAGGGCTTACAGGGTTTAGGGTCTACATATAGGGTTTATAGGGTTTAGGATTTTGGGTTTAGGGTTTAGGGTTTAGGGTCTAGGGTTTTAGAGTTTAGGGCTTAGGGTTGCTCCCTTCCGGTGTACAGTTGTGGGCTGGCATCACGCTCGGCATGTCTGAGCATGTCCATCACTTAGCTGTCCCTTCCTTGCCACGCGACCGACAAGAGCACGGCGATGCTTTTAAGGGTTGTGGGGTTTCAGGGTCTAGGGTTTTGGGACAACACATGGGACTTTCCGAAAATTAGGGGTACCTTTTTCTGGGTCCTTATAATACAAGAATCCGACTTACTATATATTTGGGTCCCCTATTTTCGGAAACCCCCACATGCATAAGACTCTTGTCAACGGCTTTGGTATCCAGAAGCGCCTCAGAGCCAGCTTCGGCAGGCTCCGGCCGCAAGGCAATGCCTCGCAGTGTGCTTTTTATCATCGCCGAGGCGCGGAGATGGAGATTTTCCGTGATCTGACGACTCAAAGGTGCATGCGTAAAGGTTGGAATTTGTGACCTAATCCTAAGCCTACACCCCAAATTCCCAAGCCCTATTGCCTGAAGACTCGTCCTGAGTGTCGGAAGCATGAGCAACAAATGAAGGAGTCGAGTGATGCCTAAGTCCCGTTGCGCAGCAGGCCATCCGAGTGGTAGCGCGGTTTGTATGCAGCTACATACCATGAGTGCGGTTGCCCGTTTGTGAAGGGTAGCGCTGTGCGGTTGACTGCAGTCGTCGACGTAGCTGCATGCCCAGAGAAGCATCACGGTGGCGTGTGCCGACCACTTGCCGCTGCATTGGTATGGTCGTGATCTGACGGACGTCTGGTTCCCTGCACACACATGTTGTCATACGTAAAATCTGCACATGAAGTCTCTCTGAATCCCAGCCCGCGGCACCGATTGCATCCAAAGGATGTGGAAAAAGCGGAGGTTGATGCGGCTTTGGCTATGATGCCATTGAATCTCCGATCTTTACAACAGCTGAAAGCAGGATGATTCGCCGTGCATTCGGCTGTGACAGTCGTCTGTGAGTCAACACACGCAAACACTGCGACGGCTTGCTGCGACCGCTGTACTCGTCGAAGGCTCGGCTATGCCGGAGCCCCAGTCACAGTCGGTTTTCTCGTAAGATTTCAAACGGTACAGTCGTATACATCTTACACACTCATTGACTCGTTCCCATACAGCATCTTCAGGATCAGTCTTTTGATTTTGGTTCAAGTTTATATTGTAGATCATAGCTCCGCTGCGTTGCAAAATTCCTATCCTCGACTTAACCAACTGTCTCAACTCGTCAGCAACCATGACGCAGCAGGTCCTTGCGACCACGGCATGCCAGCAGCTTGACGAACTTGTGGTGGTCTGTGCCTCTGGGCATCGTCAGGCTATCAGGATCAAAAAGGAGGTCGGCTGCAGGGTTTGGGGTTGTATGGCGCAGGGTTTCGGGCTAAGGGTCATGTGCACAATAATCGGCAGTGCAGCCTCAGGGCATCAAGCATGAACCGCTACAGTTGCGAAGATGGAGTTGGGAGCGATTGCTGGGGTGTGGGTTTGATGCCGCTCCTCGACCAACCCCTGCGAGTGCATTCTCCTTCTTCAGCTACCCTAGCTGCTGCTGCTGCTACTACTACTGCTACTACTCCTACTCCTACTCCTACTCCTACTCCTACTCCTACTCCTACTCCTACTCCTACTCCTACTACGAGTACGTCTACTTCTGAATTTCTACTTCTACGACTGCTCTC